CATCTCCAGCTGCTGGGCACCGCCCCGCGGGGAGGGGGCAGAAGCCGCGGTGTAGCACATGCGCGTTGCCGGTGGCAGCGCGGCGGGCGGGAGCTGCCCTCAGCCGCTGCCTGCGAGACGTGGGCTCCCTTCCCGCCTCTCTCCCTCGCCCAAAGGTGCTCTCCGGGCGACGGTGAGGGAAGAAGGAGAAAGAAAGGCCCGCTCCGCTCTGTCGCTCGCCAAGCGGGAGGACAAGCCAAGCCTTCGCCGCCACTTGCTTCTCCGTGGGCCCGGGCGGCGTGAGGCAGCCCCCGCCGCCCCGCTCGCCTCATGGGCTCTCGGCCGCTCCCCTCACAGGCTGAAGTTCTCGGCCTCTGGTGTCGAAACGCTGCTTCTGTGCGGCACGGCTCGGTTTGCTCCTGCAATGGCAGGGCCCGTAGACGAAGCATGTGTCTGCCTCTCTCTCTTGCAGAGCTACCTCACCCACGTCCAGTGCCGTGCAAAATGGCAGCAGCCACCAGCTTTAAAAACAGTAGGATGGTGGATGGTCTTTTTCCTCCTCTCTCTATTTCACCTCTCTACATTAATTTGGTGGGCCGAGAGTACACCCGTGATGTTCAGCCCTTTCAAGGTAGAGGAGACCTGCTGGAGCAGCCTTGCCACACAGTCACCCCTGACCTGCAGCAAGGCATTGTGCCAGAAAGACAAGGCCAAAACCACACCGGGGAGCGTGCTGACAATCAGAGAGGACGGGCAATCGCATGCCAGCTCAGATCCATGCCTGGGCTCTGTTTTGTGTGCCTGTATAAACATGACCTCTCAGCTGCTTCTGCTGAGACAATGTCTCAGTGATCAGAGTTAATAAACTGTCATTAGATTAGAAATAATGCACGAGTCTTCAGCTGTGTTCAGGTACTAACTCAGGATATGAGAGTCCTGGGCTCCACGTATTCTCTCATCACTGGAAGCAGTTTTTATTATATATTGTGTTATTATCTAACAAAGAAGGCGCTATTAACACTTCAGTTGCACGCTGATAAACAAACTGTACTCTAGTTTCGAAAGAAGTGACTTGCATGTTGATTCAGGTGCAAGTGCCTGGCTGTGCATCTATAAAGTGGAGCTAAAACCTTGCCTTGACAAAAAATCCCCACCTTGACATTTCCCTGTTGGCTAATTTAGACAGGTTCCCTGCTCAAGGGAAAGTCCCACTCAGAGGCAGGTGTGCAGCTCTTGGCACACACTGTCCGGAGAGGTTAGACACAGGAATGCAGTTCAGAGCGCTGGTTCTGTGTTCAGATTCCCTCAATAACCCTAAGAGCAGCCAACTTTAGCTTGTAATACCACATTCGCTATTACTATGTAATAGTGTGTGTAAAGTCTGTTACTTAAAAAAAATCCAGTAGTGGAGTAATAAGCTCCTGTTGTAAACAAAAAACTGACAAGGAAACGCCTACCCCCCCCCCCCCCACCCCCACACCCCTGCAAAAGGCAACCG